CCTAACCCCGAGATCTACCTCTATCAAAAAAAAAATGCTGTGCATTAAATGCAGCGATCTGTGGTCGTGTTCCACCTTATCGAGCACTATGCTCTCCCTGGCCTTTTTGTGGTTGATTTCTGTGCATAAATTTGTTCGTTGCGCTTCGGAAAAACAGGGTCACACTTTGCTATCACAAACTGGCATTTTGTCACGTTTTTTATGGTTCGTTTTCGGGTTTTCCTCCAGCATTTTTCCAGCGATTAAGTGTATCATGCATCCAAATATGCTCATTTAATGCGCACTTGGTCGTGGTCTTTCTTAGGTCTTGCTCTTGGAATTAAAGTGGAATTTTTTTAGTAATTGCCGTACAGGAAATTAGTTATTCACATTGGGTTGTGCTTAATTTATGCATCGCTATAATTGTTTGTGCTGCTGGAAAATCGTTTTCATTGTTCGTGTGCGGGGCCAAACGGAAAGTTCTCGTTAATGTGGGCGTTATCGGAGCCATTACGTACAAGGAAAAAGAAAACAAGCATCGTAGAGAGGGGGGAAAACTCCATATATTTGATATGTAACGAAACGTGTGAGAAATTCCCAAAATCCAGCGGGCTTTTTTATCAGGAGAAATATGAATGGGCGGGGCCGCTGGGAAAAGTAAAGTGAAAGAAACTTTGATAAATGACTGATTGATCGGGAAGCGCTAACTAAGGAGAATCACGGTTTTCCCGGGGGCAGACACTAAAACCATGTCAAACAAAATTATCGGCGGGACAAGTTAATGTCCTATAAAATATGAATAACGAAAGTTTACCGCTTCTTGGGAGCTAAATCAAAACAGAAATTAACAACAAAAGTTATTCAAAATGCTATGCTCTCCCCCTTTCCCTCCCCCGAAAATGAAAAACCCAAAATGATTTATGACAAGGGGGCGGGCGAAAAAAGGGGGGAAAAACGAAACGAAAACCGAAACAAATAAAACGAGAACATTGAAAATCAACCAAAACGCAAGGCGCAGCAATTAAAAAATCCGTTGAACTTGCCGGCAGTCGTAAACCAAAACTGGAGAATACAGAAAACGGAAAACCCGAGATCCAAAATCCATTGCCCCAGAGGCTTTGACAAGAGCAGAAAACAATTAAACTAAGATTTAATGGTTTTCACACATAATTCTCGGGGCTTGAATAAAATAAAGGATTACCAGGGAACCCAAAAACACTTCAGTCCGATCTAGAGAACTCCAGACCACCCCTAACAAATCATTTATAAACATAATTGCTCGAGTCACTTGAGAATCGGGTTAAAGATAAAAGATAAATGTGGAAAATCTAAGAGGAAACAAAGACGCCGCAGGCCAAATGTTTTTTCAATGGCAAAGCCCCATGAACATTTCTTTTTTGGAATAATGATCAGAGTGGGTTTTAGAGCAAACAAATTGTTTTTTTGCCGCATATCTATAACTACGTTTTTAACACTTGCCATCGACCTCCTGTCGCGCGGTGGGAAATAAAATTGGACTTGTCTTTTGTCAATAAATACACATTTATTTTCCTTACGCGCTGCGACTATAAATTAAATCAGGAAAACCCAACGACCTGAACGACAATAACAAACAGAGAACCAAGAGTTTTCTTGTAGGCCATTTATTGCTCTCAATAATGAAGCCATTACATTCCGTTGAGGGGGTGTTATTGCAGTCGATGCTTAAGTGCAAATGGCCATTAAAAACAATTTAAGGGGCGGATCACCATTCTCGGCAAAAGCATTTAGAAATATTGCAAATTACTGCAAATAATTGACAAACATTAAGTGCCGAGTGGAGTGGCGGTTGAAAGTCGACGAGAGGAAAACTCGGGCTGTGGAAAGGCAACAGCTGGCGAAATTTACACAACATTCACATGGAAAAATCAAAGGCTCTTGTGGAAAAAATTCCAGACTCGAAAATTGATGTTATTGTGATGACAAATCAACCTCAGAGATGGAAAAGCTTTCTATCTAATGAAACTGCAATTCACACAGGAGCAAGGAGTAAGGAGGAGGAGTTCTTCCCCAGCTGCCGATGTCAGGGGGTTGCACTTGATTTATGTATTCTTTCCTTGAGACTCCCGAAAGTGCTTTCTCATCGATACCATACAATGGGATATTTTATTAAATGCTGCAACCGAATTCAATTTTCGCAACTGTTGCCAAAATATCAGCTTAGCTAAGTGGAAGGTCGCTCGGTTTGCGAGAAGGGGGTGGTGATTTGAGCAGGGCGTAAAATTTGAACATTTGTTAAAGCGACTTATTAATGTTATAATCTAATTGTGATTTGCTCCTGGCCTTGGCTTTGATATCCCAGCCATAAAAAATAATTTGTGCAGGAGGGTAGAATATGCGGGTAGCATATTCCCTGACCAGGGGTAAAATACATCCAAATATGGGATTAATAGTAAGCTGCTATGGGAGTCACAAAAAATGGGATTTTAGTTTTTATGCTTGCATGATTTATTAAGGTGGCCGATCAGGTATTAAGGGCAGCTGTCCAAAAAGTCACTATAGTCCCCAAAAAAAAACATAGTTTAAATTAATTGGAAACCCAACCTGATATAAGCCACAAAACTCTCTTGACAACAGGACCTCCACTGATGGAAGTTTCATTCATCCTTCCGAAGCACTAATTAAGTAAACAAAAGGGGAAAACCTCTGAAGCCAAACCGGAGCAGCTCAATTAATAATAAAATGCGAAAATGGGAGCAAGCCAAGCGCAGCTCGTAAACAAGCCACAAAAAAACTTGAACTCATAATTTCCGGAGGTGCTAATAAGTTGCAAAATTATTTTCAATGAAAATGGTTGCTGGAAAATGGGGGGCGGGGGCGGGGCAGCGGTAAAAGTTGCCAGGGCAGCCGCAGAGTATAAAAAATTGACTTCAATTAAAGTGCCATAGTTGCCTGTATAAACAGCACACGGAAAAATGAAAAGCGCAAAACGAGAGCCAAAAGGATAATGATAATTACGGCCAGCCAGGGAGAGGGGCTGGAAAAATCTGGGGGGTGGTGGCGGAGGGCTTGCAGGACTTTGGTACCGACTGCTGAATGAGACTGCAAAGTTTTTGTGTTTATTTTATGCTCGTGCAAAAAAAGAAACCAGAAAAAGACGATGAAAGTTTCAATGTAGTGCGGCTGATAAAGAGGAAAAAAAAAGGATGGCTGGCAGTAGGAAATGCATCCCAGTGGGTGGCTATAGAGCAGCTACATACGATTACGAGGACGTTAAACAAATAAGCAAAAGGCAATGTGTAAAACCAGCACAGAAAACACAGAGGCAAATGAAGAAGCCAAATGTAGAGCGCGCATCATTGACACACACAGTCGCACACCTTTATGGGCAAGGACTCATTCAGGACACACGGCTAGGATCAAAATAATAGTAGTGAAAGCTACGAAGGCGTTCTTTGGCTGATTAAATTTTTAAATAGGGTCAATATATACCAAACAGCAGCTCTGTGTAAAATTCAATTCGACTGAATTTTAAAGATTAAATTAAATTGATATCACATGACAATATTAATATAAACAATTTTTAGTTTCTTAAGAGCTAATTATATTAGGATTTAATTTCATTATCAGATATAATTTAAGTAGGTTGTTATGATTTTAGTCTGCATAAATTATATTTAATTAATTTTCGATTGCCATTGTAGACCCTCTTATATGACTATTCAATATGTATTTAATTTTATTTAGTTATATTATGCTGACCTCGGCTATATAAACGCCTTCCGTCAATAAAGAATTGAAAAGTCAAAACTCGACTGGGCTTCGGTCGCTTTTTGCTGCCACTGCTACCGCTTCAGATTCAGAATCAGAATCAGAAACTGCTGCTGATTCTGCTGCTTGCTGTCCAAAATGAATGACTCGCCAGCGGGCCAAGTTCCTCGCTCCCCGCTACCCGCTACTCCTGCCCCTTCCCATGAGGCAGAGGCAGTAGCGGCAACCCGCCAACCACCCAAACCACCCAAAACCACCCACTGGGGACTCAACTTGTTGAGGAGTGACAGACCCACTCACTCACCCGCTCGTCCGCTCACCAACTCACTCACCGAATGAATGACTGACTGACTTTCCTACCCTCAAGGTTCATCGTCAGTCCGTCAGTCACTCAAACTCGCATTTCATTCCATTTCCATTTCATTCACTTTGCCTGCTGACTGCTGCCCAAAACAGCCATGTCTCGTCTTACATTTCGCTGTTCCTTTTTGTTTCAGTGTAGTTTCCGTTGGTTGTAGTAAATTTTTCTCATTTCGCTTTTTGTTGGAGTGGTTTTTATACCCGGTATACGTATAGTGGAGGGAAATACTAGACTCAACTGCATTGGAAGTGAGAGAAACTCTTAAAAATAGGTTTATTTTTGGATTGAAATAGTAAATTACAATAAAATGTTAGTGCAAATAGAAAAAATATTTTAGATTGTTAAAATATTTTATATTACCAAACCATATTATATTTTGTTTTTCATCGAGATCTTAGGATCTTTAAAAGTTAGAGGTATGATTTTTGGGATGTAGCTTCGTGAACTACCCAAGAACTATTCCCCGTTTGATCTATAAGGACATAGCGTTTCTACGCCTTGGGATAGGCAACAAATTACCGGGTATCTCAGAGTCGACTAGTCTCATTTTCCGGTTTCTACTTCTATTTGCGCTGTTGCTGTTTTGAGTGTTCCACTGCTCGGTTGTGTGTGTGTGTGCGAGTGCTTTGAGCACAGCAAATGAAGAAAAACCAACTCACACACACCCAGAGTGAGAGAGGCATAGAATGAACTAGCGGTAAATGCATGAACAACGCCGGCTTGCCTGTCATGAAATTTGTATTTGTATCTCAGCGGCTGTTGCTGCCCTCGTTCCCTTCCTTTCTGCCGCTCTCTCTCTCTCTCTCTTTGACTCACCCCCGCCCACCTCACCTCACCGCTTCTTCTTCTTCCTCGCTCTGCGTCTCGTGCTCATTTTCCGTTGTATTTTTCGATGCAGTCGCCCCGTGGATTTCATTCCCTCTGCGCACTTCGAACCGATCGCTCGTATCGCTCCCGGTACTCGAAATCCGAATCAAAAACCGAATTCCAAACGAACCCAGTACCGAAATTCAACACTCGCCGGACTTCGACTTCGATTCCGAATCGAATTCATTTTACGCGCTAACTTTTTGAAGACTTTTGAAGGGCACATAAAGTTCTGGAAATTACGACTTTAGCATATTGTGTCTGTGTTTGAAAAGAGCAAAGTGTAAACAATCCGAAAGAATTTATTCCCATAACTGACGAAAATGGGTCGCCTTTTCCAATACAATCGCTTTGGCGCCACGGATAACATCAACAAAAACATCGCCAAAAAGGATACTCAGCAGAAGAACAAGATGGTAAGTTAAAGATATAATTAGTATCTAAGATCCTTTAAATAGAACTTCCTTTAGAGCTTTGTATCTTAAAGGAATATTAAGGGTTTTTAGATTAGATACTTAATGTCCCATTTTAAGGACTCGTTTAAACCTTAAGATTTGTAATCCTCGAAATCTTCTTAGGCGTCGTCCTGAGCCGATTTGGTCCCTAAAGATCTTTTCTTAAGGAGATCTTTACGATCTTAATTCCAAGCCGTTAAAACATTTAAGAACAGTTAGTACAATAAAATGGATAGTTTACTTTACAGTTTTAAAATTTGGTAAAGAAGCCCCATTTAATATAAATTAAATGCACCCTATAAAACATTAATTTTACGATAAAATTCTTCTCTCGCCTCAATCCATCTTCATAAATATCCATGCCCTTGATGACTCAAGCTGTTCTGGGCTTTGTAGAATCTAACAGTCTATGCCCATTTCACACTCCCCACACACCATCGGAATATCTCTGTAGACAACCCACGCACACTTAGCACTATCTGCAGTGAACTCCACGCTATATCGACCCGCTGAGGGGCGGAAAGGGGAAAAGGGGGGCACGGCCAAATTCAAAACACGAACGACAACAATTAAAATGATTTAGTGTCACAGATACCAGAAACAACAACACACCGCCACACAAAGCCACAAAACAACAGGAACAACAACAAACAGCGCAGCATAATAAACTCGACTGTCGACGTAAATCAGTTGAACACTAAATCACATAGGGCCAAATAAATATGATTTGCATAAAAACTAAATCAAAGTATATACACTATATGCAAACAGAGGGCGTTCCAAAAAGGGGGCGACCTGAGCCGAGCGTAAATCTGAATTCAAATAAATCAAATTGTAAATGCAGCCTGATTTCTGGCGATAAGTAGAGCAAGCAAGCGAAGCCCGAGTCGGGAATTGAATTCGAAACATATGTCGGTCCCATAAAGATAGTGATTGATTTGACAAAATGCATTTCTATATGCAAACAAAGCGCATATGTTATTTGTTTTTGATTCGAGATAAGCACTAACTAGGCTTTATCGTCTAGCCGCGATGCCCGCAAGGCGATAGGCCCGATAGCTTAATTAAGACAAACTACCTTTCCCATTCCCCTTCCCAGCTACCTGAATGCAAAGTCAACTTTCCTTGAGTCCACAGCTACTTTGCTTTACTAATCTCCTTATTTGACTTGGGATCCGTAGATGCTGCACAAAGATATGTATGTACACTGTATATAGCCATAACAATGCTCCGACATTCGAGCAGCATTTATCAAAATATTTGTTCAAAAGAACCACGACGAACAGAGAAAAGTTTGTAATTTTAAACTGAATGACAGTTTGCGTTTTTGCCTCCGCCTTTTATGCCGACCTTTGCATTTTTCATCCACTCATTTTTCACCGGAATTGACACCCATCGCCTTCTGTATCTCTCGTCTCTGTGGGTTCTTTTTGTTTTGATCTATGAAAATCTGTCTTCCTCTCCTTTTATTCAATTTTTGTCTGCCCTTTGGTGTAGGTGTTGGTTGTTTTGGCTCCCAAAAGGATTGTCTTTTGAAATGCGAAGTGGGAAATGGGTGTGGCCGCAACGGGAGTTGTTTTACCAAGAAGACTCGAGAGTCCTCTACAAAAGACTTCTTCAAACTGAAAAGTTCAAGAATGCGCCCTCTTACAAATAGGATCCTAAGATCTCCGAGTATAAATCGCTCGTCACCTCCCCGAAAGCCCCAACACCACCGCCGCTTCCGTTATCAAAATCTATTACCAGACACAGACTGTTTACACAGCCAACTGAACTGGCTGTGCTGACAAACGATTTCAATTAGCCGGTTCGCAACAGATAAAAGGCATCTCGCCCATCGCGGGTCAAAGATACAAAACGGAATCGTCACGAACTGCAGTACATCGAAAGACCAGAACTAATAAAATTGTCACACAACTGTTGGGTCTGTCTGAAATGACCATATGCTGTCTGCTTGGCAGGGAAAGGGTCGGAGAAAGGAGGGAACTGCAACCATATTGCTAGATTAAAATCGGAGACAATTAAGACGGCGAAGATAAAATCGACTTATTAAAGTGAACTGCGCTCATGTGGGGCTTAGTCTGCCAAAGTGTTTATGAACAAGAGATTATTCTGTGGAAGAGTATTTGATTACATTTCATTAGGCTGGCACATTTTTAATTAATTAATGAAAGGGAAACTTTTTCTAACTCATTTCATATTCCGCTTCAAGTATTACAAACATTTATCAAAGAAGAAATATGAACCATCTTCATTAGCGATAATTAAATAAAAAATTAAATTTAAATTATAGAAACACAACCATCTATCATAAATTTGATTAATTAAAATGATAAACTTAGGCATCCCATATAATTGCTTAAACGATCCCTCATTAGTAAAACGTTATTCAGATTTAGACCTACTTTCAAGGTTTCTAATTAAAGTGAACATGCAAAACTGTGAGAAAAATTCACGATGTTTGAACATGAAACTAGAAAAATCAAAAATCATTTTCCGCATAAACCTTGTGGAACAGATAATGGTTTCGAGCGATTTGTGTTGGGGAAATCAGGCTGAAAGCATTTTCCTCCTCGTGTGGCTTATGATGCCATGCTCTGGTGCCTTCGACGGCCTGCCTAAGTGGATTTCATCGACGGCCGGAGATCCCGTGATGGGCCTCATAATTCTCGATGAGATGCAGCTAAAATTAAATCAACTGCTGGCGACGATTAGCAGCAATGAGCTGAGGCATTTAAATTCTAAGGCATTTTAATGCACTTTTCCCCAAGAACTCTGGCTATGGCTCCCTTTCAAGGCCAGTGATTAATGTTTATCTGGAGCTGGTTGTGTTCTACACATGTATTTACATACATGCAGACGACTCTTTGATTTTTGGGGGCCCGGGCCCCTGGAGAGGAGACTCTAAGGATAGAAAATTAATTGCACCGCTTTTAAGTGCATTTAATTAGGAATTTCCGAGCAGACGCCTCGTTCACTAAGCCAAAGATTTATTGGGGAAAATGCAAGCTGCAAGCTGCAATCTGCAGGCTGCACAAATTGATGAGCATAATTAAATAGCCGGCGACTGCGGATAGCATTCGACTTGCATGCTTTGTAATTTATGCTCCATATTTTGCCCAACTACCGAATGGCCCCGTCGCTTTGAGTAAACAACAATTTCACTTATTTTCATGCCGTCTGCCGCCTCGACCATCAACTGTCTGCATTGTTATTTTTACGCTCGACTCAATATAAATTTTCGCCCCTCTTCGTTTTGTTCGCCACATGCCACGCCATGAAAATGTAATGCAAATATGCAAAAAAGCTTTCAACGGGATCTGGTACCCTCCGTTCCCCCAAGTCCCCAATATATCTCTCTTTTTTCATTTCTGCACCCCATTCCACCTAAACTCTTCTGGCTACAAATAGTTTTTGGTTTTGGCTTAGTCTGGCCATCAACCGGCAACGGAGAACGTAGAGAACCGAGAGCCGTGAACCTAGCCAACATCATCGTTATCGCCAGCCCGTTGTCCGTGTTTGAGTTTCATATGGCTTCCCACCAAGGATTTGTGTGCATTAGACGACTAGACTCGGGGAAAACTATTCGCCAGCCCAGTTACTAGACTTTCCACACTCCGACGTACTGGAGTTGTAGAAAAAGTTGTCAGAGTCTCTAATTAAATTGTTCACCATCTCTCAAAGTGATAAATTCCCAGAGTTCATTGCCTGCTCTTCAAAAGAAATGTTAAAAACTTGAGATTAATCTCTTGAACAACCCACGCAAAGGGGAAGAAGAAGAAACCCCAAAGAGATATGCCCATAAAATGCAATTAAAATTTCAATAATTTTCATTTGCATTTAATAAACCCATCAAAATGGCTTTTTAAACACGCATAAAACACCCGGTCGAAAAGAAAGAAACAACTTAATTCGTTTCACATTTCAATAATTTTTTATATGACCCAATTTTTTACACCTATAAAAATGCCACAAGAAAAAACAACAAAAAGAGGCCATAAAAAAGCCAATGCCACACGCCACATGTGTCTAAACAAAGGATTTTCCAGCCAAAGGCAAAGCTAATTGTAATAAAAAATTTAAAAAACATACGAAAAAGCTGAAACTATAAACATTCTGCCTGGCATATAAAACTAAATTAGTGAGAAAATCATTTTACGAGCCCCGAAAACGAACTCGTTTAACCAACTAAAATGGAAAAACTCACTGAAAAACTGTATTTTCTTTTTTGGAAGGCGGTGGGTGGGGGAAAAAGTGTGCGGGACGTGTTTTAAAAAATGTCATAAACTACTCGTAAGTCCATGTATCTCTGACATTTTGAAAGCCCCGACACGTGTGTCCGTGCTGGGATCACTTTGAGTTTTCAGATTCTTTTGCTGTGGCATAAAACTGTCAAATTAGCTGGAACTAAAAGCGAGATGGCAACAAAATATTCAGAAACGCTCGACTAATGGCCCGGAGCCAAATGAAATATTACTAATTTCGATAAAAAAAATGTCTAAAAGAATTTTCAAAATTTCATTGATATTGTTGGAACTGCATTTTAAGAGTGGACGGGGTGGACCGCTATTTAGAGGGTGGCCAAAAAAGAGGAGGAGTCTTGTTTTGGCAGCACAGCTGCTTTGGCAATTGCCCAATTTGTGAGCGGATAAGTAGCCGGTTAGTTGGTTATTGCGGTTGCAATTTAAAAGCCACCAGTAACCACTTCCCAAGGTGGAAAGTTGTGGGTTGAACGAGTGGGGTGGTTTTGTTTTTCAAGACTCTTCAGCAGCTGCTTGATTTTCCAGAGCTGGCTCAAAAATTCAGGCATATGTCGGGGGTACCGGGACCTCAAGTGGCGCACAAAGGAAACATTTCAATAAATTCATCGACTCACTCCGGGCACTTCAACTAATTTCTGTACCCCGGCCCCAACCCCCTTCTAAATGCACAATAAATGAAAATTTAACAACTGTTTTTATAAGGCCAAAAGGGTCTTTGGTCTACCTACCTTCTTCTTGTCTGTCAGCTGTCGAAGGTGCCTCGATTCGGTTACCTGAGTTTTTCGTTTTTATTGTAACACATTTTGATTACGAAAATATGCTAACACCTCGCAGGCCAAACAAAAAGAGCTCTTTGGCCCAGAATGGAGAGCCCGAGGGCCCGGGGTGCTGTTTCATCATCAATTAGAGCTCAACCTTTCCGCAGGGCAGGATCGGAATCTATAACCAATTGGAGCGGGGGATAGACCTATGATTATTGCATTAGCACGAACACCATCAAACCATCAAAAGAACAGGGCCAACACGCCAACACCTTTGGGCCACTACTGTCTGAGTCCGTCTGGATTTTATTTCGGTCCCAATTTTCTTTGGGCTCTATTATCATTGAAATTACTGTTCCTTTTCTCTGGCCGGACTTCGGCTGGCCTTGCATAAATTAAAACTCATGTAGCTGCCAAGAATCGTAGCCATTAAACGCTTGTTGGCCCATTGTGTTTGATTTAAGCCGATAAAAGGTACACTTTTGAGGCATTTCACGCCGCTTTTCTCTCCCCAACTTTCAACAGATTTATGCGCTGCGTGGCCACATCAAAGAAAACTCTTTTTGGCCATGCCTCGTTGGCCACGAATTAATGGTCAAGATGTAGCAACCATTTTTCGGGCGGCCCCACCATGTTTGTTCACATATAAACAAGATTTTCCATTGGAAATGCAAATCAATGGGATGGCCTGCAACGGAAGTTCTGCGTCTGCACTTCCTTTGTTTGCCTTCCCAAACCTCTAATTTATTGAATGTGTGAATGTTGAATTATAAAGTCCCGCCACTCGCAATCGAATTCAATTTCGTAATCCCAGCTCTACCTGGTCGTCCATTGGGTTCCATTGTGTCCTGCACTCCTTTTCAATCGATTGCTCATTATTTTGCCATTTTTCCCTCGAGTGTGTGTGCGTGCCGAAGAGTGCCATGAATTCACGGATCAGAATGCACAACACCGAGGGGTGTATCTGCATGAAGGAGAGTGCTACTGCAAGCAGAATTACGGGAAAGCTGAGGAAATCGAAGCAGGAGTTGGCATCCCAATCCATTACCATGGGTCTGAGAAAATACACATTGTAAGCCACCTCCAAGGCCGAGCAATTCCGATTGTCAACGTTTTCTAATGCGTAGTTCATGGTGTTTGATAAGCTCTATAAAAAAAATATTTAAGAACATATAAGAGTTGTACCACAGACTTACTTTTATGGTAATGATATGTATTCTAGTCTTGCTTTTTATATATTTATGTTGACACTTAGAGCCCCTAGCTACTCAGTTTAATGCAAAACCCATCCCCATATAACCCAAACAAAGTGTTAAATTGTCCCACCTAAAAGTGAGAAGTATTTAAATAATTTTAAAGCGCAAGTAGGTGTTGAAAAAAAAACCCACTAGCCACCCTCGCCAGGAGTTGCATATGAATATTTTATAAGCGAAATGAAAGGCAAATACGAGCAGGGAAAACAACGGGCTGGCAAATTGTACAACAATGAACAAGTAGAGCGAGCGCATTACAAGGATATCACAGCAGCAGTGACCCAAAAGCATTAGCAGGGTTTTTTCATAAGAGAGTAGGAATGGGAATGGGTATGAGAATGGAACCGAGAATGGGATTGGCCTAACAAAGGCGAAAGCAGAACAAAGCCAGGATAATGGGATGGCAGTGTGTGTGTGTTATCTCCGTGGCTGTTGCATAAGAGCGTCCTTCGAGTGAAATGGGAAACCCCGAGATCCGAGGTAGATAAGATTTATAGGGACAGGCCCCTGACACTTACTACAAATTTTCCTGACCAAAACTAACAAAAAAACCACCTTGTTTGTTTTCTCCCCGACAGCTACGCAATGCCATCAAATGTCCTGGCTACTCGGACATCTATGGTCAGTACAACAACGACTCGTCGTCCTTCGAGAAGTGCCAACAATGGAGCAACAAGCTGCAATTCCCAGCCGCCGGAGATATGGATAAACAACCCATGGAACCGATCCAGAGTCGCACGCACAAGGTCTACGACAGCATGAAGAATTTTCTGCAGCGCAAACTCTTTGCACAGCCCTCGCAAAAGGAGCAGACCTTGAACGAAGAAGCCACCAGCGACTATGATGAGGTGTGTATTTACAAAATTTAAAAGCCTGTAAATTATGTAAATGAATATTTTGATATGTGAAACAATTTCGGGTAAAATATTGTGGTTAAACCCCAAATTGGTTTTCATAAGTGGCAACCGTGACTTTAAGAACCCTTTCCTTTTGTATCGTTTTTTAATTGGTTTTTCTCCTTTCTTTTTCAGCAGGACCTTCTCGACTCCTCGTACCATGCCGACGCGGAGGAAGAGGAGGAGGAGGAACGCGATGCGGACTGCAGCTGCAGCTCCACCACCGGCAGCACCACCAGCAGCAGCAGCAGCCCAACCACGCCCAAGCGATCGCCCCAAAAGTCCTTGCTGTCCCTCAACTGCTGGCAGAGCAGTCAGCCGAGCAGTGACTCCAATCCCGAAGAGGAGGAGGAGGAGGAGGCAGAGGAGGACTCCGATGCCGGGATCTCCGATTGCTGTCAACTGCTGGCGGAGAATTCGCCACGCAACCGCAGAGCTGCTCCACTCTTCTCCCGATACATCAGCGCCCATCAAAACTCAGACGATGATGAGGATGAGGAGCCGGAGCTGCTGGCATGTCCTTGGTATCAGCCCAGGATAACGGCCAAGGCAGCCCTGGAGCATCTGCAAAAATCTACACCTGGAAGCTTTCTTCTGCGACGCAGCACTCCGCGACATTTTGAACTGGTCCTGCGACTCGAGAGGAGCAACAAGGTCAAGAGCTACGCAGTCCAGTCCACCCGGAATCAGATGTACCGATTAAAAGGAGCCAAGAAGCAGTTCACCAGCCTGAAGGCCCTGATCACGCACCATTCCGTGATGGCCGAACAACTGCCACTGACATTGGATTTGCCCAGGGAGCGTCATGTGGCGAAGCCCTCATCCGTTCGATATGCAGATGACTTCGAGCCCCTGGAGTCCCTGCAGCTATTGGGCATCCTGAAGAGCCTGCAGGCCAAGAGCATCGAGATATAGGAAATAATCATTAAGCGGGGTTTTTCATGGGGCGGGAAAAAATAATATCGAACTGCAAAGGGAACGATAGGTGAAAGTAATTAGGAATTTGTTTTGTTCTATGCATAAGGACTTGTGATATAGTTTACGGAGCAACCCTCGAATTTAGTTAAGGCTACCAACTAATTGAAATATTTTGTAACCGACATAGGACGTAATGTAAGTTTTCTATTGTGAAAGTGAAATATGAATAAAATCGAACAATGGCATTCGGCAACAAAGGCAACCCTCGAGAGTTTAATTCTGTCCACGCCCCGGCAATCGATGCGTTTCCTGTTGTTTCCCCCCGAACCCTCGATCCCCAGGAATTATCCATGAAGGGAGGGTTGGCCAGAGAACGCTTCACTTACATGTGATTAGCGATTCGAGTGGCCCTCATTAATTTTTCAAGTGCGGCTCGTGGAGCTCTCGACGCAATTCGCCCGGCAACATGTTGCGGGAAACATTTTAGTAGCATGAATAATTACACCCGCTATATTAGCTAAAACATTCAGGGGATTACATTCGCCACTGTCAAGTGATGATGTCGCACGCAACTGAATAGCTAATAGCCAATTGAGAAGGGTTAACAGTTTTTCACTTAGAATTTTGTGTTTCAATACATAAAATATTGAATATAAAACAGATTTTAATATTCTGATGACCGTTTAAAAAATAACGATAATATCTAATTAGAATTGCCCTTAAGTATGCAAAATATATTTAAGGCGCCAAGAAGTATGCTTCAAATAATAATGTATCCTTTGAATTCGAATGTATTTTACATGCAATACTTAAATGTATTCTACATGATCCGCGCCTTAAAAGTAGGCAACATAACTGGTCCAGATTAATTTGATAAAAGGACACTAGCAATAAAACACAATGACATTTGATATAAAGCGTAATTACCTAGGGGCTAATAAAATTATTCGACAACATTGCACTTATTCCCCAATGTCAGAAACTCCGCTAAATCGTTTCCTGTTTAGCCAGTGTGAAAAACGAGCTTTTTACGGCCCATGATTGATATTGGATATTGTTTGCTTTCGCCAAATAAAGGCCATAACTCACAGATGCAAACAATTGGCAGGCAAGTGCATAAAATATTTAAATATAAACTACAAATATTCGCACTGACAACGGCGGGACAAAGGCTGGACGGACGGATTTAACCCCCGGAGGCCGCACACTGGGCCAGAAAGTTAATTTTTTGGCCAAAAATCTGTAATTTCTTTCCTAGGACAGTTAGAAGGATGCAGTTTTTTGCGTTTTTTTCTTAAAAGATTGAACTTTCCAACGAACTAAAAGTAAAATTTCTTGGAATTTTATATGATATAGATAATCCAGACCAAAGTCTCAAAATTTTACGTACTTTTCGGTTTTTTATTTTTAAAAAAATAACTAGAAGACGCACTTCTTCCATTTTCGAAAACAATAAAGTATGAGATAAAACAAACTAAAAAAAATTAACATCACTAAAAAATATTATGTCATTTAATATTTATGAACCGTTAAAAAGTGCAACTTTCGGAGGCTCCCACATCAACGTTTATCAAACAATCGATTTAAAAAAAATTTCTATTTTTTTGTTCTTGTTACCTTTTAAGTTTTATATAATCAAATTATGTACAAAAAATTGTTTAAAAATATTGTTTTTTGATTTGTTTAATATTAATTTGACATATTCTGAAGTCATCACAAAAGTATGCTAAATTTTTATTTGCATAGTCCTGATTAAATAGATAGATATAGGTTTGGAAAATACCATAATCGATTAGTGTACGTAAAAAGTAGATTTTAGATGTTAGTCACACTAAAATCAAATTTTTGAGCGCAAAATGTTCACCAAAACCTGAAGAAATAAAGTATGGCATACTCTTGGGCTCTCTTAGCTAAGCTCTTCAAAATAGCTCGACTTCGAGTTAAGCCTTCAATTAAAACTTAAATTACCGAAAACTAAGGCAAAACCGCATCGAGTCGGTGGGCTACGCTTTTAGTAAATTGATCAACGAATTTTTTTTTGAAGGAATGAACTAATTTGGGGATGGCACTCGAAGGCACTCGAAAAGCAAAGTACTCATTTGCTGAAAAAAAGCGTAAAAATTAACAATTACATTTATTTTAAAAAAAAAGTAAGACATACGAGCTATATTATATTTTTTACTTGTTGAAAATAATCCCTTCTGCAAGTTTCGGAAAGAAGTCGAACAGCAACATCAGCATCTTTGACTTCTAAATTTTTTTTCATTTCCATCAATATTTTATGAATTTTTCACTTTGAAAATATGGTAAAAGAAAACTACTTGCCCGAATTCTTTGAAACTTTGGCATAAATTAGTTTAATGTATTATAAAAAGGATTCCAAACTCAATTTGGTCATTTTCTTAAAAAAGAAAAACGTATTTTTGGCCAAAAATCTGATCGCCTGGCCCAGTGTGGGCCGTAGAAACAAAAGGCCATTAACAATAACGAGCAATGGAAAAAACATTGGCAAACAAATTACAAATAAATGGAAACGCTGACAGCATTAATAACGTTACATCATTAATAAGCGAATCGAAATGAATACAATAACTGAAAATGGAAAATGTAATAATTATGACAATAAATTAAGTGAACGTGGTGGGTTGGTTTCTTTTAGTTATTTATTTATTTATTTAACTGGCGCCAGTGCTTTCCGATTTAAATCGAAGTCACCCAATCATTAATTGCCTGCCAATCACAACGACCGCAAAATGGGAATATTTCAATGAAATTGTCTTCGGAATCACCAGACCAAACTGAAATGGAAATTCCATTGAAGGAGGATGCTGCTGCTCTACCAAGGACTCTGGACTGGCAATATATTTACAATGGTTCGCATCAGATTATAGTTTCCGATAAACGGAACACGATGGCATTTCATGTAAACTCTGCGGAGGAATCCTTCCAAATTTCTAACACCCTCATTCTTTTGCTACTCCTTTCGCTGCTCAACACTTGGACGTAATGGAATTCAAATTGAAATGCAAAAGGGAGCCGGAAGTGTGTGTCCAGGCATCATATGTGGGAATAAACATTCAGCATTCTCGCTAATGAAGTGCTTTCATCTGCAATGTATGCTGAGTTTTTTGTTTCTGCCCCTTTCACTTGAACTGTTTGCATAATTTTTGCACGAGTTTGTTTAGCTTTTCAATGCTGACAGCTGAAAAGGCAACAAAACCGAGAGTGTCGCCCAGTAAATTTCATTTTCATTTGTGTATGCCTCACTAATTACGAAACGGTTGCAATAATTCCAGAGAAAACATCCAAAACGATCCCTTGGGAAAAAGCAAACACAAACAAAGGGTCATGCAGGATGGTAAATTAATTATATGAAAATTAGAAAGTGGTCACTTTATGAAATTAAAATGGCAAATGTGCAGCATAAAAAATGAACGCACTAAATCGCCTCTTTAATTACGTGCTAATGCCTTTTTGACATCACAAAATCAATGGCGTTTGATAAAAATGTAATTAATTAGGGCCATTAAATCGAGTTTTATGATTCAAACGCGGTAGAAAAAATGTAACAAGGGAAAGTACGATTCATTCAATTTTTTAAGCTATATTAAAGACCTTCAATATTATAAATATTTATCTTCATAGAAAGTACACCTACCTTGTTTATCTAACAGCTCTATAATTACTACTTTGATCCCTGAAATTTGATTATAGCCCGGTGGGCTCTCATTAAACCTCCATTCAATTTCACTATCCCTGTGTTGACCCACCTCATACCTTTTTATAGCTCGACCCCACCGCAGCTAATTACAAAAACAGCTCTTCTATTTGAATACCTCCACCCCTGGCTGCCCACATCATGGGAAAATCAATAATTGACGACGAGTGCATCCATGAATGGTCAATCATTCAGCAGAGATTCTGGCTACCATTCATTCATCCGCATTACCAAAGAAGTTGTTGAAACGGGAGCAGCAGGAAAATCAGTGGGAGCAGTGGAACCCCAGCGATGAATGGCATTTGCCATGATGTTGCCTGGATTATCTTCTGTTTATATGGGATTTATTTGCCAGCAGGAAGCAGGAGGAGCAAAAAGGATGCAGGAGCAGCAGAAGGATGCAGGAGCAGAGGAGCATGTGTTGCCATGACGGCCGCCGTTGCCTTTGTGCGCCTTTTGTTGCTGCGGATGCTGCCAGTCTGGCATTGCATAAATGTTTTGCCTTTTAATTAGCACGCATTTCACATTCGACATTTCTGCAGTGGCCTCCAACGCTGGCCTCTTAATGCGCTTAAACTTAAAGCAGATCCAGCAGCTTCGCCTCGATGATAATGATGGAAATACTGGCCGGCTGAGGAGAAAATTCAATCAGCCACTGCTTCGAACTTCCCTTCGAGTAATGCAATCTGGGGAAGGCAAGACGTAAACGAAGAACACAGAAGAATGCACAGGGAATTTTTATTTAGAAAGTTATTAAAGGCTAGCTTTGGGTGTTCAAATACTAGATTAGCAATTGGACTTAAAATTAATATATTTATAAGCTTAGCTTAGTTAGCTTGGCATTTAAAATTAATTGTGCATAATAAGGAGAATAATTGCATTTTACTATTAAAATTTTGTATTGCTTGTTTAAGAATGAATTCCAATGTTTTTTATGAAATATTATAATAATATTTTAATGTTACTTGGTTCTTGGGAATCACTAAAACTGATGTATTAGGTCTAAGCTTTTTTTTGAAGTGCATAGAGCACTAGCTTGCAGCAGTATGGCGGAAATTATGTGCCACTCGAGTGTCCAACGAGCCGTGACCCGAGTATGATGTAAGTCTGAGAAAGAAGTGAAAGAAATTGTGTCAGCAGGGGCACGCACAAGGCACAAGGATAACCACACCAAACCGCCGGTGGCTGACTAGCTGACTGACTGCCCGACTTATCCCTTATCCTTACAGCTATAGCTACGTGATCCTGCGACGACAGCAGCGCCAGCAAGTATGCAACAAGCAGCGCAAAGTGCACTCAATTGTTTAGCTGCCCCTGGGTTGTATTTTAGTGGGGTGGTGCTGCATGTTCCTTTGTGGCACACAATCTATATAAAACAGAAAATCAGTTGGCACTCGGCCAAGTGCATATTAAAAGCAGCCAGCACTCTGAGGTTGCGGAAATGATTTTAAAGAAGGCAGAAACATTTTTTTAAACGATAAGAAATTCCTAAGAATGGTTTCCATGTAAGAACTCACTTTATGTTAAGTAAATATTGTCTTTTA